TAATTAGTTTTAAATAAGTATTTCAAAGTATATCAATGCAATAATATATAAGATATGTTCATGCAAAGGTAAATAAATGTTGAATTTGTTTATTTAAATCGGTAATTTAAAGTATATATAAATGCAAGATATTATATGAGAGATTGATTATAATTGTCACTAAAATAAATGTTTGCAACTTTGTAATAACGTTAGTCTAAATACTTAGTCTTAAAGCGATAGTCTAAATAAATATTACTTTTGATTTAAATTTCTCTAATTCTTCTTAATTCTCTTTTGGGTAGCATTGTTATTGTTTTCATCTTCAGTACATGTCTTTTTTTTTTATTGGTAGTGTGTCATGTGCAATTAGGTTACTGGTAGCAGTATAGAGGGATTCATAATACAATGAGATTATAGTGTATGAAGTTTTAAATTTGTCTTTCTATGTATATGACTGAGATTTTAGTTGTAATATGAACTCTTTAGCGTACAAACACCTATTGATATTTAGTAGTGGTAGTTTTTTCCCTACATGTTTCATGTGTTGTGAGATGTGTGTTGTAGGTTATCATGTGAAAGTATTGAACAAAATATTAATATTTATTATATTTGTATAAAATACTTGGTAAATAAATAAATAAATAAATAAATAAATAAATATATATATATATATATATATATATATATATATATAGAAAAACGCTCATATGTGGTCATGTCATTAGGTGTGGTCGTGTGGTCGTATCTGGGTCGTTGAATCAGTTTAATCTAACGGCAGTGGTAATTCTGAGAATTTTCGCGCGTTTTGGTAGGTGGGGGTGTTATGGTAATTACAGTGGCCATTTATAGCGGGCGGGTTCCAGAATACACCAACAGTGTTGACAACATACACCAATAGTGTAATAAAACACACCACAGTGAAACACACCAATGGTGTATTTCCGTGTTATGGTAATTACAATGACCATTTATAGCGGCCGACTTCCAGAATACACCAACAGTGTTGACAACATGCACCAATAGTGTAATAAAACACACAACAATGTGATTTCCCCTATTTCGGTGTTTTATGACGAGTTTACCCTTACAGTTCGCTGGGTAGGAGAATGTGCGCGAAAATACTGAAAAAATCTTGATTAATATGATTCATTGGATCTATCTAATCTAATGGCCTATAATTGACCATATGACCACACCTAACAACATGACCACATGTGATCACTCCTATATATATATATATATATATATATATATATATATATATATATATATATATATATAAAACATGTTTTGTATTATAACTTTGATATTTAATTACAAGAAAATGAAAAAAAGAAGACTGTTGGTTTTTGGGTTTTCGGGCCCAAGGAGGTTCAACACAACCTTTGGTTGGTGGATTCACCTTTCAAAAAGTGATCGCAAAGATGAGTAATCGGATGACTAGAAAGTGGGTGTGTCTTCTTCTCTGGGCATGGACTCGCCCTTTACAAGTGTGGAGGGGGTCTTTATATAGCAGGCTCCCTTCCATTCGAATTGAAGTACATTAATCATTGCTTTTAAGGCTATTTACACTATCAGACCGTTCGGTCGCTGTTACCGAGTCGCCCAACGGCTCTGTGGTCTCTTAACGGCCCTTTTGACCGAGTCCTCTTGAATGCTGCATTGAGTGTTCCTTCAACGGCTCTTAGACCGACTTGAATGCTTCTCACTGGCCTCTGGGCCGAGGCTCCTTCTTTACTTGGGCCCGGACCAACTCCTGGACTCGGCCCAGGCCCTCGTCGGGCTTCTTCTTTTACTGACCCTTGTCTTCTATCTTGGGCTTTTCCTCTTCCTGGGCTCCTCTCTCGTGGGCCCCTCTTCTTGGGTCGGGGTCCTCACCCCATCAACTAGTCCCTCACTTTCTCATACCCGGGCCACTAATCCGGGTTTGAGAAAGTAGTAACTGTCCATTCCTTCCTCCATCGGATCCCGCCTTTAAAGAGACCTCATAACGTCCAGATCCTCTACTATCATCCCGAATTCAGCGGAGCCGTTGGATTCTCCCTGCTCCGCAAGGATCCTTTAAATAGCCTCTTGTCTTCTACATCTCTCCTCACTTGACCAACCATGGCCCGCTCGCCTTTGAAGGGAAAGCGGATTGACTTTGGGTCTCCTCAACGCCCTCTACCTTCCAAGCGGACTCGACCTGATAGGGAGAGTAAGAAGAAGGCTCCTCGCCCGTCCTCCTAGAGGTTTCCCTCCGGTGCCACTTCCTCTGTTCAACAGCCGCCGACCGCGATTCGCACGGAGAATGTTCCGACTTCCCTCAATCCGCCGCCTTCGAGTACTACCAGGGTGACTGCTCAGGACGGATCTTTCGTGGAAGTGGCCGTCCCTGAGCAGTTGACCTTTCGTATGACCTTCTCCATTCCACTTGATAACCTAGATGGGCCGGCCACTGGCCTGATGAATGATGCCGACTTCGCCCGATACCTGGAAATGTATCCGGATGACGAGGAGCCGGTGGTGCCGCCAATCATGCCAGCTTTCTGGGATACCCTCTGTCCGTCTCCCGCTAGACTGCCCGGGGAGACGTTCTTTAGGAGTGATTCTTCTTCACCCGGCGAGTAATTGGCCCCGGTCGAGTTTGGTTTCCGCGTTGCCGAGTGGGTGCTGCATAGGAGCATTTTTATTTATTGGCAATGTAATAAGCTCCTTATCTTGTGTGTTCCCCTCTTATAATAAGATCACGTTTCCCTCTGGGAGGGTGTTTATTTCTTAATTCTTTTCCTGATACTCATTCTATTCTCCCGGCTGATGGGTCCGAGAGTCGGCCATGTTGTCAGCCCCTTTTCAGTTTGACGCCTGCCAATATTCCCCATATCTTGGGTGAATCTACCTTTTTCAGCTCAATCGTGCGAATATCACTCTTTTCGAGCGGATTTGATGGAACTACCCCCTGACACAGATCCCTGTCCTCCGTCCAATCCGGTTCAGTTATGTCAGTCGCAATCTCTTCCGTGATTCTCGCCTAGGTATTCGCTTCCTTAGGGCTATATAAGGGCCCTTTATGGTTTGCGCAAATCACATTACACCTATTTCCAAAAGTGCGAAGCCATGAGTTACAGGGACGGTGATCGCCGCTGGTCCATCCGCAACTAGGAGCATGCTCGACTGGAGAAGTTGAAACAGAAAAGGCTGGCTAATGGAGGGCGTTTGGTAGGCGACTCGGCCTCAGACCCGATAGTAGTGCCTCCGGATATGCTGGACTTGATGCTAATGGAGCCAGCCGACGTGGAGATGGAACCGGTGGTGGATGACCCAGATCCAGAGGAGGAAGAAGTGTGGGAGGTTCCTCCGCTCTTTGGCGTGGCCATGTCTCCAAGCGCCTTAGAGAGGCCCCTGCAAATGGTCGACGACGGGAAGCCGGCCGTGTATCTGGATGAGGTGCCGGAGCCTGAGCCGAGCCCTCCGCCTTTCCGCCCCCAGTACTTCTTGGAGGGTCCTCCGCCTGCTCGCCCGTCAGAGGAGAAGGAAGCCAAGCCCTGATCTGCTTTTCCCTTGTAACTTGCATTCGGCCGAGTCCTGGGCCTTGTACTTTCTATGTTTATTAAATAAATTGTGCGTTTTCTTGTTTTCGCTTTGCTCTTATGCGTTCTTTAATCGTCTTCCGGTCCTTTCCCAACGGGACCTCTCTTGTTGAGGAGTCGCCGAAACTGGTTATCCGACTCTGAGACTGGAATCTTTTCACGAGCCTTGCTCGTGTTCACTGATGGGCCGGGTTTCACCGGATTTTTCTGGAAACTTCCATCCCGGACCCGGTGGGCCCAGAGGCCGTGGCCTACAATGGGCTTTTGGCTTAGCGGGCCGGGTCACTGCCGCCGGTTCTGGCCTAGGGTAGACGCACCGTTCGCAGGCTAGCCCTAGATCCGAACCGTCTCCCCGTTTTCCCAGGCATTAATTACAGCGTCTTTTCACCTCTTGTCACCCTCTTCTCCTCAATGAGAGGGTGACACGTGGCCATCCTTTGGGATTCCCCCTCTTTTAAATAGCCATCTCCTTCCATCTTCTCCTCACTTTCTTCCAACTCTCCACACCCAGCGCCAAGCTCCTCCGATTCTCTGTGCATTTTCCTCAGCCCACACTCAGGTTGGTAAATGTCTTCCTCCTCCGACTCTTCTTCTTCTCGTCGTCGCTCGACTGAGATCCCCGCGGCGACTTCCCCATCATCTTCTTCTCCTTCTTCTTCTTCTCCTTCTTCTTCTTCTTCTCCTTCTTCTTCTTCTTCTTCTTCTCCTTCTTCTTCTTCTTCTTCTCCTTCTTCTTCTTCTCCTTCTCCTTCTTCTCCTTCTCCTTCTTCTCCTTCTCATTCTTCTCCTTCTTCTCCTTCTTCTCCTTCTCCTTCTTCTTCTTCTCCTTCTCCTTCTTCTCCTTCTCCTTCTTCTCCTTCTCCTTCTTCTCCTTCTTCTTCTTCTCCTTCTTCTTCTTCTCCTTCTTCTTCTTCTTCTTCTCCCCATCGCATGGAAAGCCGGCCCATTTACGACCCACCAGAGGGTTGTGTTGGTATTCACTTGCACTCGGTTGCCTTTGGCTTCTGAGTTCCTCCGTGTCCGTTTCTCTCCCTTCTCTATCGCCACTATAATTTGGTTCCGGGTCAGCTAGTGCCCAATTCTCACCGCCTCCTCACATGCTTCATAAACCTCTGCCATTGGTGGATGTGTGAGCCGGATCTGGACCTGTTTCGGTATCTTTTTACCGTTAATAAGGTCGGCTCACACTCGCCGGGCTTCGTCCAGGTTGCCGCCCGTCCGGGGCGACAGCTTTTTGAGGGGTTGTCCGATTCCATCAAGGACTGGAAGCCCCTCTACTTCTTTGTTCGTCGCGCTCTTTCTTCCTTCACCTTTCCGATCTTGTGGCCGGCTGCTCTATTCAAGCCCTGCTCTCGGCGCGCCATTTTCTCTCAAGATGCGATCCAGGGTGGCGAGTTCTTGAAGGGCTTCGGGCCGTACTCCATTAAGTACTGATCTCGAGTCCGGGCCATGGGAAAACGAGGCTTGTTGCCAGACGGCGCGGCCACTTTAGGTAGTTCTCCACATGCCCTTCTCTTCTTTTTCTTTCCTGGTCCGACTGCTAACACTAACTCCTCCTTTTCAGGTCCTTATGACTCCGACTCCACCAGTTCCGACGAGGCTGCCGCTCCGACTCCAGAAATGGCTGATAGAGCTGAAAAGATGAGGCGCCGGCTGTCCCAACGCGCCTCTGGTGCCGCTGCTGCCTCTTCGTCTCAGTCGTCACCTGCCCCGAGGTCGACTCCTCCACCACCACGCACTGTGGTCGACTTGATGCCATCGCCCGTTGTCTCGCCTTCTCGAGCGCCGCCTCCTCCTCCGTCTGAGAGCCCAAGCTCTAAGCGGCCAGTTGAGCAATCGGACGCGCCGGCTCCAAAGAGGATCCGGTTGAGTATAGAGCCGGACGAGGACGCACAAATCTGGCAAGGCAGCTCCTTCGTCCGTTCCTGGGCCGACCACGTCCTTCTGCCTAAGGATGTGGAGATGACCGGCGCAATGCCGGACGAGTACATCCTCGAGGCCTCGCTTCGCCAATCGTACCGCGTAAGTATTTTCGGCTTATCGCCCCTTTTGTCTTTTTCTTCTTCTTTATCTGACCTCTTTGGTTCTCGCAGAACCTCACCTTCCAGATGGAGATGAGCAGGCGACTGAGGGGTTACAAGATGGGACTCCAGTCTCTTTCCACTCGCCTGCGCCAAACAGAGGAGGCTCGCTTGGAAGAACAGGCTAAGCATGCCAAATCGGTGGAGGTGCACACCTCTGAGCTGCTGAGGGTCACTCGCCAGTGGGAGGAGGAGCGGGACAAGGTTGCGACCATTGCTGCGACTTCTGGAGGATTACAAGAAGTCGGCGGCCATTGAGGCGGACGTGAAGGCAGCGGTGGCGGCTGGGCAGAAGGAGATCGCCCAGGAGTGGCTGGCGACGCCGGAGGGAGACGACTATCTCCTTGACTTGGGTGAGCGCGGCTATCGCTTAGGTTTCCGCGAGGCTCAAATGGAGACTTATGCCGCCTTGCTGGCCCGAGATTCTGCCTTCACTCCCGAGAGCTGGGGCCTCAAGCCAGTGCTGGACCTTCTGCCGGCGACTGCAGATCCCGCATCGACCGTGGATCCGGCATCTCTTCCTGCGGCAGATTCTGCAGATCCAGCAGCTCTCCCTGCGGCGGAGCCTACAGAGCTTGCAGAGCCGCCTCCTCAGGCGGAAGACTCCTCACTCGTCCTTCCTGCTGGACCATCGGCGGAAGCTCGAGCCGAGGAAGTTGATGTTGACACCCCCTCCCCCGTAGTTTAGGGCTTTCCATTTGGTAGCCTTCTTTTGTATGGGCTGGCCCCCCCTTCTCGGGCCCTTTTATTAATGAAGTCTTCTTTGCTCCTTTCGACTGCCTCTATCTCTTTTCTTCTTTTGGGTTCCCTAGGCATAATTTAAGGCCCTAAGCTCTTCCGCTTTGTTAAACTTCCATGATCAAGGATCTGGTTCTCCATCTGTTTGTGCCGAGTTCCTCAGTTGAGGCGACTCTGCAAACTTTTCTTTTTCCTTAGGAACGACTTGAGGTCAGTGCCCCGTTGTTTTTCAATATATTCGCCGAGTCCCTCAGTCGAGGCGACTCCTTAGGCTTTTTCTTTCCTTAGAAACGGTTTAGGGTTAGTGCCCCGTGGTTTCTTTATATACTCGCCGAGTCCCTCAGTCGAGGCGACTCCTTTTGGCTTTTTCTCAGAAACGACTAAGGGTCTGGGCCCTTGTTTCTTGTCTTTTCTCGCCGAGTCCCTCAGTCGAGGCGACTCCTTAGGCTTTTTCTTTTCTTAGAAACGGTTTAGGGTCAGTGCCCCGTGGTTTCTTTATATACTCGCCGAGTCCCTCAGTCGAGGCGACTCCTTTTGGCTTTTTCTCGGAAACGACTAAGGGTCTGGGCCCTTGTTTCCTGTCTTTTCTCGCCGAGTCCCTCAGTCGAGGCGACTCCTTAGGCTTTTTCTTTTCTTAGAAACGGTTTAGGGTCAGTGCCCCGTGGTTTCTTTATATACTCGCCGAGTCCCTCAGTTGAGGCGACTCCTTTTGGCTTTTTCTCGGAAACGACTAAGGGTCTGGGCCCTTGTTTCCTGTCTTTTCTCTTGCCGAGTGGGGGGCAATGATCGAGGATAAAAGGTGTCCTTTTATTAGATTCGGAAACTCGAGTACATGTCTAACCTTTTACTGGTATAATTTCTTCAAATGGACGACGTTCCAGAGTCGGTCTATGGGTTTTCCTTCTAGGGTCTCGAGCTTGTAGGTACCGGCCTGCACCACTGAAGCAATGCGATAAGGTCCTTCCCACTTAATTGCAAATTTGCCCCCTTCTGTGGGCTGGCTTGCCTGTCGGTCTCGCAACTCGAGGTCGCCAACCTGGAAGGCTCGTGGGCGAATCCTCCGGTCGTGATACCTCTTTACGGCTTGTTGGTACTCAACCATCCGGGCGCACGCCACCTCCCTTCTTTCTTCCAGGAAGTTCTTTTCAATTCCGATGCTTTCTTCGTTCTCTTCGTCGGAATAGCTGCGGACTCGGTAGGTGGGCTCAACGACCTCTACTGGGACCTTGGCTTCAAAGCCGTATGCTAAGGAAAAGGGGCTCTCTCCAGTCGCCCGTCTTTGTGTAGTTCGGTAGGCCCAGAGGACCCGGTCGAGCTCATCCGCCCAAGTTCCCCCGATGTCCTCCAACTTTTTCTGAATTCCGTCCACTATGGTCCGGTTCACATTCTCGACTTGTCCGTTGGCCTGGGGGTATGCGACGGATACCTTGGTGTGTCGTATACTATGCCAGCGACAGAAGTCGGTGAAAGCTTGGCAGTCAAACTGCTTGCCGTTATCGCTAACTACGTGCTCGGGCAGGCCGAAACGGCAAATCACCTTCTTCCACAGAAAGTAATCGATGGCCACTACACAAAATTTCAAGCTTCCCGGGGCGACTGGTAGTGGTCCTAACAAGTCGATTCCCCATTTAGCAAAAGAGATGGCCGTGGTGACCGGCGTGTAGAAGGTGGCCGGCCGACTGTCCTTCCGGGCGAAAGCTTGGCAAATGTTACACCTGGCTATCCATTCTATGCAATCTCTCATCATGGTCGGCCAATAATACCCCTGGACGACTAGCTTTCGGGCGAGCATGTGAGCCCCCTGATGGGCGGCGCAGATTCCTCGGTGCGCCTCATCCATTATCCTCTCGGCTTCGGGCCGGAGTAGGCATTTCAAGAGAGGCCCCCCGAACGACTGCTTGTACATCTGTCCATCAATGATCTGGAATGAAGGGGTTTTTCGTCGAATCCTTGCAGCGACTCCTGGATCCTCTGGTAATTCTCCTGTTTCCTTAAACCGCCGGATGTCTTCTATCCAGAACATCTCGGGGTTTTGCTCTCGATCCCATTCCTCGACATTTACCTGTTGGACCTCCCATGGTATTTCCTCTATACTCGGACGTCTTAACTCCTCCTTTTGGAAAATCTTGGCGAGGTGATCCGGTATTCCTTCTAAGGCGATTTTCGATAATATGTCGGCCTTGGTGTTGTCCACCCGGGAGATATGCTCTATTTCATACGTTCCGAACTCTTTCAGCATTTCTATCGCCTTCTCCTTATACTGGGTCATCCAGACGTTCTTAGCCTCGCAGGTGCCGGAAATCTGTCCCACTACTAACCGGGAATCAGTTTTGATCCGCAATCGTTCTGATCCCAAGGCCTTGGCGAGTCGAAGGCCGCCCAACATAGCCTCATACTCGGCTTCGTTATTAGACGTCGGGAACAAATAGCTTAGGACGTAGTAGAGTCGGAACCCCTCTGGAGTGACCAGCATGATTCCGCCTCCACAGTGTTGTCGACTCGCCGCTCCGTCCGCGTGCATTTCCCACCATACGCCTGAACGGTCTTCCATGGTGTGCTCTTTCTCTTCTTCCCCTGCCGTGCATTCGACCAGGAAATCGGCCAAGGCTTGCCCTTTTATGGATGGTCGCGGCTGATACTCGATCCCGTACTGGGTTAACTCCACGGCCCATTTTACCAATGGTCCTGACGACGCTGGGTTTCGCAGTATGCTCCTCAGCGGCTGGTCGGTCGGTACCCGGACAGTATGGGCTTGGAAATAGGGCGCTAACTTGCGTACGGTAATTACTAGTGCATAGACAAGCTTCTCCAAGGCTGTGTACCGTGTCTCGGCGGCCTTTAAGGACCGGCTTACGTAGTAGACCGGGTGCTGGGCACGCTCCTCTTCCCGAACCAGTACCGAACTCACCGCCTTGGGGGAGGCGGCCAAGTACAAAAACAAAGGCTCACCTTCCCGTGGGGTGGACAACACCGGAGGTGTAGAAAGGTACTGCTTTAGTTCCTCGAACGATTGCTGGCACTCGGTCGTCCAGGCGAAACCTTCTTTCTTCTTCATCGCCTCGTAGAAAGGTATAGTTTTATCTGCCGCCTTACTTAAGAAGCGACTGAGGGCAGCCAACCGACCAGTCAATCGTTGCAAATCTTTGACGGTGCTGGGAGGCTGCATATCGATGATGGCCTGGACCTTTTCCGAGTTGGGCTCGATGCCTCGTTTGGTCACCATGTATCCCAAGAATTTTCCGCCTTGCACCGCGAAGGCACATTTCTTTGGGTTCAGCCGGAGATTATACCTTAGCATCACTTGGAAGCAGTCGGCCAGGTCCTCCGCGTGTTTGGCCTATTCTTTGCTTTTGACTAACATGTCGTCCACGTAGGCCGCCATGGATTTGCCCAGTAAGTCTTGGAATAGCCGAGCTACCATCCGAGTGTAGGTGGCCCCAGCATTCTTGAGTTCGGAGGGCATAACTCGGTAACAGTACACCCCGTCTGGTGTAAGGAACGCGGTTTTTTCTTCGTCGGCCGGGTGCATGAAAATCTGATGATATCTCCTAAAGGCGTCCATAAAGCTCAGCAGGGCCAACCCTGCTATCTCGTCGACCAGCTGGTCAATCCGTGGCAAGGGGAACGGATCCTTTGGGCAGGCTTTGTTAAGATCAGTATAATCCACGCACATCCGCCACGCTGGGGGTTTCGGTACGAGGACCACGTTCGCCAACCACTCTGGGTATTTAACCTCTCGGATGTGGCCTGCGGCTAGCAGCGTGCCCACCTCTTTCTTTACGAATTCCCTTCGGTCATTGGCGAGATACCGCTTTTTCTGTACAACCGGCCGATGGTCCGGATCCACGGCGAGTCGGTGGGCGATGATGGACCTGTCGACACCAGGCATATCCTCTGGCCCCCAGGCAAAGACCGGCCGATGTTTTGGGAGTACTTGGATAATTTCCCCCCGAGTCTCCTCGGAGAGACCGACACCAATTCTGACCCGACCGTTCAGCGTCGATTTCGATTTCTTCCAATTCCACGGCCGGTTCCGGGCGGGGTATCATTGCTTTCTTTGGGGGCTTTTCCGTGATTTCGTGGACTTGCATTCCACGTTTGCCCATCCCCCTACAGGCTTGCAGGTAGCAATCGCGAGCGACTCTTCTATCGCAACGCACCGTTCCTATCCCGTTCGGCGTGCGGAATTTCAAGCAAAGATGCTCGATGGAGATCAGTGCTCCCAAATCCTCCAGGCCTGGTCGGCCGAGTATAGCATTGTGTGAGCAAACCAAGTTTACGACGATGAACTTCATGCTGAGCTGCTGCACGTCGGGATAGCTGCCGACTTCCACTGGCAGGGTGATGGACCCCTCTACCTCCACCGAGTCCCCCGTGAAACCGGCGAGCGGTGTTTTGACCGGATTCAGCTGTTTTCGAGTCAATCCCATCTTCGTGAAAGTCTCGAGGTATAGTACGTTGACACTACTTCCAGTGTCGACCAAGATTCGCCGAACGACCACTCCGTTTACGTCCATCACTATGACCAGCGCATCTCGATGCGGTGTCGCTCCAGTGGGCAAATCTTTGTCAGTAAATGTGATCGGTTCTCGGCACACTTTCTTCGATCTTTCTTCTCGCCCATATACTGTTCCGACGTATAGTTGTCGAGCGCAGGCCTTTCTGGTATTTGCCGAGTCGCTGCCCTCTGGTCCGCCGACTATCATGTTAATAACCGGCTTTTGGCGCCATTGGGCCTCATCCTCCTCAGTGGCCGACCGCTTGCCACGGCTATTCTCGGCGGCGCCCGCGGGATCATCGTCCCCTCGTGCTACGGACCTTCGCCTCCACTGATTAGGAGGCGGGGTCCCTTGCTGGATAATTCCTTCCATGACCTTTTTTAAATAGAAGCACTCTTCCGTACTATGGGTGTAAGACGTATGATAGCGGCAGTACTTAGAGTTCTTACCTGTCTCTTCACCTGCCATACGCTCGTCGATCGGCGGGGGCGGAGGCGGAGCGACCGCTTGAACCTCGTGCACCGGATGCTGAGGAACCGCTCTGTAGGGATGGACCATAGGTTTGTCATAGGGACGTCTAGCCTCGGGTCGCCGAGCCCCTTCCGGGCGCTTTTCCTTGGTTTCCGCGCGGGTCCTCTTTCCGCCGGTGGATCCTCCGATTTCGCGTTGTCGCTTATGCTTTATGGCCTGCTCCGTGTTGGCCCTTTTATTGGCCATGTGTATGGCTTCCGCGTAAGTAGTCGGGCGGTTATCCCGCAGATCCCGATACAACTGCCCGGATCGTAAAGATTCGATGAAAAAAGTGAGTGCGGTCTGATCTTCGACCCCCTCTATAGACTGAATCTCCTTTTTCCATCGAACCAAGTAGGCTTTCAGGGACTCGCCTTCCTCTTGATGGACATCTCCCAGGTGAGTCAGATCCTTCTGTGGCTTGATGTTGGCCGCAAAATGGCTCTTGAAGCGGTCGGCTAACTCCTCGAAACTGTGAATCGACTTAGGAGGCAGTGCCACTAACCACCTTTGTGCCGAGCCTTTCAACGTGGGCAAGAAGGCGAGACACATCACTGGGTCTCACACTCCCAAGACCTGCATTTTGGCCTGATAGCTAAGCAGATGCTCGCGCGGGTCTCCGGATCCGTCGAAGGTGGCTTGTTCCAGATATTTGAAGTCGCCGGGTATTTTGTAGGACATGATCTCGGAAGAAAATGGCAAAGCGGTGAGCAACGCCTGCCCGGGGGATTTGGTCTTTCCCCCCATTTGTTCTTTCAGATCTCGTACCTCTCGGGCCAATTGGGCCACGTCGCCTTCATTGCGAGTGTGGTTTCCTGTGGATTCCGTACTTTCGCCGACCTCAGATTGGGCCGGTCGGTCATCGTTGCGTGTTACGCGCTCGGTCCGTCGTGTCCGAGTCTTAGTTCTCCTGGTGTGAGCTCTTTCTCGACCGGTTTCCCGGTCTCGTGGCCCTGCTGGCGCGCGGCTGGGCTCTCTTTCTCCTAGTCATTATCGTGCAGGCTGCCGCCCAGCCTTGAATGGACTGATCGTACTGGCTGGCTCTCTGCCCGTCGATTTTCCTATCCGTCTTCCGGCCTCTGGGACGGTTGTTGATGGTGAGGCATCGGCCGAGAAACCGACTGTTCCCTCACTCCTCGACTCGCGTCGGCGAAGGCTCGTCCGATCCCGTGGAGTTGTTCCGGGGTGAGGGGTATCATAGGCGGCTGCCGGTTCACCGGTGCTGTTTCGTTTCCTTGACTTTGAGCATGTCGTTGGTTCAGCTGATCTCTTAGATCTGCCTCTATCCCGTTGTTTCGGTTGTTTGCTTGATCTCGTCCTTCCGACATGTTTATGACGCTTTTTCATTCGACTTCGGGACTCGCCCTGCTCAGAGAGTCACGTAGCTCTTTGTGTCGATCCCCACGGACGGCGCCAGTGTTGGTTTTTGGGTTTTCGGGCCCAAGGAGGTCCAACACAACCTTTGGTTGGTGGATTCACCTTTCAAAAAGTGATCGCAAAGATGAGTAATCGGATGACTAGAAAGTGGGTGTGTCTTCTTCTCTGGGCATGGACTCGCCCTTTACAAGTGTGGAGGGGGCCTTTATATAGCAGGCTCCCTTCCATTCGAATTGAAGTACATTAATCATTGCTTTTAAGGCTATTTACACTATCAGACCGTTCGGTCGCTGTTACCGAGTCGCCCAACGGCTCTGTGGTCTCTTAACGGCCATTTTGACCGAGTCCTCTTGAATGCTGCATTGAGTGTTCCTTCAACGGCTCTTAGACCGACTTGAATGCTTCTCACTGGCCTCTGGGCCGAGGCTCCTTCTTTACTTGGGCTCGGACCAACTCCTGGACTCGGCCCAGGCCCTCGTCGGGCTTCTTCTTTTACTGACCCTTGTCTTCTATCTTGGGCTTTTCCTCTTCCTGGGCTCCTCTCTCGTGGGCCCCTCTTCTTGGGTCGGGGTCCTCACCCCATCAAAAACAATGAACAATGTAGTGAATATAATAAATTAATAAATTTGAAGGTAAGGAATCTTTAAATTGTAGAAAATAAAGATAATATAACTAATAAAATTATATTTCTTTTAATTTTTTTATAATGAATAATTTTTTTAAATAAAGCATTATAGACATCTAATTCTAAATTAATTAAATGCATATGTATTATTTTTTATTGTAGCTACTAATTTATTTAATTAATAAGAGTAATAAAGTGTGGTACATACTTTTCTTCAACAATAATGAAATCAATGATTCTTTTTAATTTTCATTCCTTGTTGAGACAAATTGTTTTGAGAGTTTGTCCATGACAATTGCTGTGAACAGAGGATGATAATAAATAATTCAAAATATATGGTTACAATAGATATTAATATAATGATATAGTAAAAATTAACTTACAAATTTCTTTAGAAGGTTTCATGCATTGATAAAATTTTGATGTGTAAACTTGCTCAATTGGAGCTAGTAGGATGTTAACATTGTCAATTATTTGAAAAATGATCTTACCGTTTTAGTGTCCGTGTGTAATTGTATTTATGATCAACAACTTTGTAGTTAGGTCGCGTAGGTATGACAATGATGTAAGAACAATTTTGTCTGATAAAAAAATAATAGTATAATATTTGTAAAAAGTAATGTACAATTGTACCATTATAAAAAAAAATACAAAAAATATTAATACCATAATGGCCTAAATCATTCCAATAATGCAAAAGCATAATTAAAATATTAAGTTTTGTTCTAAATAATCAGAAGAAGATTAGTTAAACCAAAAAAAAAAAAAAAAAAAAAAAAAACTTAACCTAAATTTTTTTTAAATAAAAAATTCAAGAAAATCAAATGATTTTAAAGTAATTCCTGATTTATAATTTCTGATGCTCAACTTTGAATGCTATGTATTTAGTCGAGCTAATTATTTGACCAAGTTTATGTTAAATATTATATTATATATATATTTTTAATACATTTTAACATATTCATAATATATGTTTATTTAACAATTATGCCAACTATACTTGGGATGAGGTTCGAACCTAAGACCTTATATAAATAAAGAGTATGTTAAGAATAGTAAATAGTAAATGGAATATTCCGTTACTAAAGTTTAAGTTTAAACTAACGGAATTTAGTGTTATTTAAGGGAAGAAAATAATATAATAGAGGGTAAATAAGGAAAATCATTAAAAGATACTAAAATCAAAATAATATGAACCATTCATTTTAAGAAACAATTAGTACCGACATTTTTTTTGTTTCAGTTAAGGGCCTAACATTATTCACTCTTATTAGATTTGTAGATGTA